AGCATTGCATTTGACACTGTAATACTAAATTACATCTTTATAATTGTTGCTACTAGTTTCAATTTACTTGAGGTAAAAGTTAATATTAATGACACTGTAATGACACTTAATGACTTTGTCATAACTGTTGTAACTTGTTTCACTTTACTTGAGGTAAATGTTAATATTAATGACACCGTAGTGACACTTAATGACTTTGTCATAAATGTTGTTTCACTTTACTTGAGGTAATAGTTAATATTAATGACATTGTAATGACACTTAATGACATATTCATAACTGGTGCTACTTATTCCACTTTAGTTGATGTAAAAGAAATTGTTAGAGTCTGTTATTAAATCATTTGACCATGTAATAAAGCTTAGTGAAATATTTATTGCTTGTCCTACTTGTTTTGCTTTATTTCATGCAGTGGAAATATTAATCATTGTTTTGTTAAAGCTTTTGCTAGTGTAATAATTAAATCATTATGACTAATATTATGACAAATTTATGTTAGATCATGATTTCTTGGTTAATGACAAGTTGTCATAACGAAGACATTTTTGGCGAGGTTAATGACAAGTTGTCATAACGAAGACATTTTGTCTAGAATAATGTCAAGCTGTCATAACGAAGACATTTTGTCTAGAATAATGTCAACTTTGTATTAAAAGTGTCATTATTTACCAAATGACGCTTTATGACAGTCATAACTATTCATGAAGACTTGATGTTCATTGACAGATGTTATGTCATGTTTATGACAGTGTCATGACAGTCTTATGTCATGACACTTTCAAATAAAGTGTTACCTAGATATTAAATAAAAATCCTAAATTATTGACAGTGTCAGGTACTCAGTTACTTGTAAAAGGACATTGTCCTCAATATATCCTGTCCATCACGTCCAGATTACAACTACCATGGCGACCAATCCTGCAGCCAGGTTTATGCTTCTTATCAGTTGCCATGCTGAGCTCTGCCGGCATTTCCTCGTCTCTGAGGGTGGACTAGACGAATTCGCTGGCAGAGGAGAGTTAGTGGCACAGAGGAGAGAAGCTAGCCTGAGACTGACTTTGTTTTAGTTCAAGCCAGAAGCTTGGAAAAAAAATATCGCTTCTGAAGTCAAAAGTCAGTTTCTAAAATTCTAAAATGTTTTTTCTAGAGTGCAAGAAGAAATATGCCTCAAACATTTTATATAGTTTACTCAACCACTCTGTTGCATTTTAAGAGCAGTGAAAGTCATAATACCAAAGAAATTAAATAAATAAATAACACACTTAACAAAAGCTGTGTTTCCATTTCAAATTTGCACAAAACTTATGTGGATATTTTGGTATTTTTGAAAAAACATAATTTTGCTATTGGGGTGTTTCCATTAAATGAAAAATAAAAGTAAAATAACACAAATAAGTCTGAGCTGAAAGACTAGTTGTCTTAGATTAGACATTTCCTCTGTATGTTTCTGCCATGATGATAGGAGTTCAGTCCAGAGGAAAGAACCACAGTTTGTCCACAGTCATAGCCTCTGGTGTCAAAACCCTGTTATTCAGGAGGGACAGTGGAAGCTACATCTGTTTACTCTCCTGTCATATTTTCAGATCTTGTGTTTCCCTTTTGACAAAGATGACAAATAAGAAATTAGACTTTTGGTGATAGAAGATTGATGACTTCCTCTTGAAGCCACTGCCTGTCTTGATTTTCTGTTCTCTCTCTTTTGTCTCCTCCGTTGTACTGCATTGACAACATAACGTAATTTCCCTTTGGGCAGATGGTTGACTCTGGGAGGGGAAAAGAGGTGGGTGCGTGGGACAAAAGAAGCGGATGGGGGGCTAAATAAATCAAAATCATCATGTGAGCCATACATAGAAAAGTAACAGGAATCATAAAACAACCATCCACAGACTTATTACAAACAGGATAAAACTCTCTGAAAAGGTCAAGAATTCATCTTCGGATTAAACTCATTTGATTAAGACAATGAGTGTAATTAACTGAGTTATGGACAGTATATTTATGTAAAGTGACTGACAGATTGGTATAGTCTCAGGAGTTTATGGTGCCTAGGATCATAATGAAGACAAAACAAACTGTGTTAGAGATGCAGCTTACCTACTGGTCCTTTCCTTTCTCTCAAAGACTGAGTTTTGTATGTAATGGAAATCCTAAGCTCCTTTATGATTCTGCCCCAATGCTGACATGAGTGACAAATTGCTGATGAAATGCATATTCTTCTCAGCAGTGTCACACAGTGTTCTAACCTAGTGGTTGGAAATTCCATTGTGGTACAGGTTTAAGTAGACTTGCTTCTTTCATGGATAGTAAAATCCTAAAAGGTAATTGATGGTCGTTTGCACTTTGTGACAAGTCATATGAGAGGCCCTGCAAACAGAGAAGATGAAAAAAAATGCTTTTTGTGAACATTTTGGTCAATCCACTTTTGTGCTTTCTGAGAATAGAGAGTTTTAGCAAAGAAATATTTTCCAGCTGTTAGAACATTCTATTAATAACATATTGTTTCTTTGACCACCGAACTGCAGTCTTAAACTTGTATAAATGCCACCAATAGAAGTATAATACATTGAAAAATTCATCCTGTTTGGCCTCGGCCTGTGTGTCTTCAGTTCCTGCCACATTAGATTTAAGTGCTTCTGGTCATGACTAAATCATTTCACAGACTTCCAGCATCACATGTATCTGACTTCATCTGTTATGTATCCCTTTGGACCTTGTACAAATGGAATTCTGCTTGCTTTAATCTTCTGAGTTTTCTTCCAACATACTTCTTGTCACTTACATACCACCTTCCTCAGTCACAGAAACTACAGCACACTGATTCAGTTATAACCCAATCACATAATTTTGAAGCAGTAAAAATTTCAGAGTTAACAAGATCTTGACCAGTGACTGGTTTGAAGAAATATATTTTAACTACTGAAATTCAAATTCAGAAATACTTTATTAATCCCATAGGGAAATACAATTTTGTAACCATTATTTCAGATTCTTCAGAGTTATTGAAGTTGATGATGGCTGTTGGCACGAAACATGTCTTGTAGCAGTCTGTATAACAGTAAATCTGAAGAAGCCTCTGATAAAAGAAACTCTTGTTTTCTCAAGACAGTCTCATGAAGAGGATCAACAGTTTTGTGATTGATTTGTGATCATCCTGATTCTGAACAGTATGGTTTCGTTGACATGACTCAATGCATGGTGATGGCTGTAGCTGTAGGTACTTCTGTGTTTGGTTCCTGAATCTTTTCACAGAAACTTTTTTTTTTTTCCACAGTTTTTTTTTTTTATTTCTCTGCATTTTAAAGCTATCACTGAAGGTTAAGATGTCAATTCACTATCTTTTTGACAACTCTTTTTTTCTTGCTTGCTGCATTGTAAGTCCTCCAACAAAACACAGGAAGATGGACATACCATACCATACCAACTTTATTTATAAAGCACTTTAAAACAACCACAGCTGATACAAAGTGTTGTACATCAAAACACAGCATAACAATAAAAAAATAAAATAAAAACTTACAGTTTTAAAACACAAACATACAATTTAAAACTAGATCCTGCTGGAGTTGAAAGTCAAGTAAAGTAGATGGGTTTTAAGATGAGCTTTAAAAGTGCACAGTGAAGGGGCCTCTCTGACCTGCAAAGGCAAGTCGTTCCATAATTTTGGGCCCATGACAGAGAAAGCCCTGTCCCCTCTGAGCTTCCTTCTTGATCTCGGTACCTCCAAAAGCAGCTGATCTGCGGACCTGAGAGACCGATAAGGTATGTATGGGTGAAGAAGCTCAGAGAGGTAAGCCGGGGCAAGATTATGTAGTGATTTAAAAACAAACATAAGAATTTTAAAATGAAT